ATACTGTGTGGCTTTATCCAAATAAAATCTTCCATATTAGTTTGTTTATTAGATGTATCACACAGTCAGTCAGTGAAACAGTCAGTATTATTTACTGGATGACACAGTTTCGAACAAAATTTATTGCTGTTCATAATCATACCAATCAATTATGATCACACGACTTCGAAACTTGAGTTTTGTAGTTTTCTTTGTTCTCACCTATTTGTCGTCCTATTGGGGTAGTAGAATTTTCCAGATGTCTGGGTGGACAGGTGTTGAATCATTCCCACTACACGTATTTTCTCTCAGTTGATTCGATAAACAAGGCTTCCGTTATCAATCTCGCCCTCCACCCTGCTATTACAACATTAGATTATCCCATCCTACTGTATGGTTGTGTAATTGCATGCAGTCAGTGCTATGGCTGAACTATTCTCTAGATTTCTGATATTATTCGGGTCAACTAATCTCGATTTCGCTAGGTTTTTATGCTCCGCTAGTCTGACTGACACCATTCTGCTACTTTGACTTGTGTGCTTGACCTGACAATCATTCCAGACAGTGAGTGTATTAGATAAAATAAACTGGTTTGTTTAATCGGCTCCACCGGATACTTTAACTGACACAGCTTGATTCTAACTGAGTTTGTGGGTTTCAATGCTAGCCACTTTCATTCCTGCCTTGTTAAGAATTCTGAGTGAAGTTTCCGAGGTTCCTTCATGTATGCAAGTACTACTGATGATTCAGATTCCTTATTGTTGGTGTTGTCATTATCCTGTGCATGTTTGACATGCATGTCAACATTAATATCACTATTATTATTATTATTATTATTGTTATTATTATTATCACGATGACTGCTAGTATTTTTAATTTCATTTCTTCGTTTTCCCACATACTTCCTGATTAATTTACCTGAGTAATTATTAAGTCTCAAAGCTTGTCTTATATGTCTCACTTCCTGTCTTACATTTTCCTCGGTACTACTTAGTTTTCGTGCTCTACTACTTAAACATTTCAATAATCCTAGTGTCGTTGACATAAGATGGTGGGATGATCGGAAATCCAAATATCGGTTCAAATGTGTGGGTTTCCCGTAAACACTAGTGTTTAACTTCCCATCTGCTTTCTATTTTACACTACAATCCAGCATTGGAAGCTCCCATCCACGACTTTACAATTTGTAAGTGAATTGAATTGCCTCCACCTTTAGGCTAATGTATTCGAAAAATCTATCTATATCCTGTGTTCAAAGTACAGTGAATATGTCATCTACATACCTCCACCATACTTTACGGGTGGGGCTGAATGTTTCAACCGCTATGATTTCCCACCTATCCATGAATATATCTTCCACAAGCGGTGATATTAGTGACCACATGGGAACTCCCTCAGATTCTTTGCATATTTTACCCTGGAATTATTTACCTATTGTGGAAGTCAGGCATAGTTGCACTCACACAATTATGTCCTCATGTGGCAATTTCCTTCTAAGTTCGAGTTGTTCATCACAAATGAGTTCGTTTCTGACTGCCTCTATAGCCATATTTATTGGTGAACGTGTAAATAAACTGACAGAGTCAAAACTAACTAACTGACTAACCACTTTTCCTTCGTTATCTAATTTCCAATTCCCTACTCCATGTTTTAGTTCACAAGAATTTGTTAGTCTAGATTTGGAGTAGAATTACGTAATACCACAGTGACCAAGCTTTACACAAATATTAAAATAAAAAAATCTTCCCCATAATCGAGTTAATGTGATGGTTGTTGGTGACTGGCTACAAGACGAAGTTGTAGTGAGAATTCGTGACCAGTGGGGTCCATCCATTGACGAGTGACGATCGAGTTCCCACCGATGACATGGGTTGGTGGTCGGGATAAACTCATCACGAATTGGGAGAAGTTGGAACTCAATGTCCATTGAAACAGTTCCCAGTGGCTGAATGGTATACGAGTTCTCTGGCCTTGTAACCGGAAGGTCGTGTCTTCGAAACCCAGTCGGCGTGTACAGTCGGTGATTCCCAAACTAGCATGAAACAGCTGTCTGGCTGAGCTCCCTGGTTCCCAATGCTTCTCCATCTGATATCAATCCGTGGTCTAACCGGAACTACTAACAAATTCTAGTAACAATATATCCAGGTGTTGAAGGAGCTGGGCTGAAAATTAATTACGGAATTCAAGACACGTTTATTCCTAGGCGTTAGTCACAAGTTCTTACATAGTCAAGAATTCTACAAAAATAATAATGATGACTGAGAAAAATTACAGGGTGACTCAGAAGCATTGCGTAAAATACAACCAAGTTAATATATAGAATTAGTCAGAATTGTAAAAATTAATGAGATCGAAAGATTGTTTTCCTCCCCTTGTAACCATCTCTCGACTTTGCTAATCTTCACAATTCTGGCTAACTCTAATAACTTACTTGTTTGTGATTGGTGTAATTCTCCTGAGTCATTCATTCTATTCTTATTAGTCGTCATTAATTTACAGATATTTTGATTGTGTTATAACTTGTTACTAACGCCTAAGAATCCAGTCAAAACGAATTCTGTAATTAATTTTCACCCCCACCACCACCGCCACCGTCACCCCACCCCCACTCACTCAAAACTCAGATATCTTCTCACTAACATCTAGTAGTTGATTGTTTTGATGACTGACCTCTAACCACTTAATTTCACCCAGCTATACCTAAAAATGAGTAACTAAAATAACCACTTGACTGGTCGTCATCAGATTCTAATTTGATTACTTTCATTAGACTCCAATAGGTGCTTGAGACAACCAAATGTCAACGCAAGCGGCTATACATTCTTCGCCACATCACTTCAATGTGACCACATAGAAATAATGCACTTCTCTTCACCGAGTAATATCATATCATCCATCACTCAGTGTCATCAAAATACTCGGTGAATGGAATCATACATAGTATTGTAGAATTCTCCCATCACTATACATAAAACTGTATAGTCCCTTCTTATATAGGGGATTAGCGAAAGAATGAATACTCGTGGTTTACTCAGAGATGATGGATCGAAGAATACTCATTCCGACAACTGACACATTTCGCCCTACAGTTAGATGTCTATACACACAGTTGTTGAAGAGTTATTCATATTGACAACACCAGTGTAGTGTCTTTGTGTAAGTAATATCCAGCTGTTAGGATGCGTCAATTCCAGTTGAACAGCATGTGTAGGCGACGGTATGCATGAACATCTCATGGTAGATTACACACATATCCAGTGAAATGAAGAAGACCATTTATGCAAGTTTTGAAGATGAAAGAGGACCGAAAATTCGGCTCACTGACCTAGGAAATGATACCACCGTCTGGTTCAGAAATTTCCCATTTACATGGCTCACCAAACATCCACAAAGAACAGGTAGTCTATGTCAATCCTTTACATGTTATGATCACCACCATCATCCCGTAGCACCATGGCTAGTAGGTACTTAACAAAGTGGGAGAAAGCTAATCGCCAAACACTCCTTAAAGGAGGATACGTTTCAATTCGTGGATCCAATAAGTCAAATCAATGTATCTGGCTTAACTGTGGCTCCGTTGGATTGGGCCTATCCACTATTCACTAACGTCTCCTCAACCGAAGCTGTATGCCACCTATGTGAGTTGATTGATTCAAACTATGTAAACTATGTTTGTATACCAACGAGGCACATCAAGTAATTAATCCTGAGACGCACACTAAATGTTCACTTCTGAATATCTGGGAAATGTCATTAAATACTTGATAGAATCGATGATTCCTGAGTACTGTGTTGATATTATTTGGTTGTCTCAAGCACTTATTCGAGTCTAATGAAAGTAGTAAAATTAGAATAACTGAAAGTTAGTGGAATATGATGAATACTAACGGTGGTCTGCTCCTAGTCGTGCTGATTATTATAACGTCAATGTTAACAGTGGCATTTAAAGTTATCCGTTGTATTCCGACTAATCTTATCTTATCTTAACTTGTCCTTCCAGCTCGCTCCTACATATACCCGAAGAGATCGGAATCCATGTGAAGAAGCCTAGCTAATGTATTCACAAGAATTTACCACAGACACTCTAATCAACTTGGTCACTATCACTTCATTGTCAAGATCTAACAGTTTCGCCTTTACCCACACCCGCCAAAAATCCTGCATCCCTTACTAGCTATCATTGTTGTTGTTTCACCTACTTTCAGAATTTGTTGCACAAGTTGTCTTCTTCATCTTATTCCACATTCAATGATTCATGGCGTACCTCGAGTCGAATATCCTCAAATATTCGAAGTTTACAAGAGTGTGGATATCGGAGATATCTTAATCGTCATCGGAGGGAACTATGGTACCTAAAACAGGGAACGCGATCATCAGTTCAGTAATGTTACTTCATATTTCTGTTTCCCCCGCTGTCGGGTAAATTAGATGAAATACTGCACCAAATGTGGGAAATTCAACAAGGCATCAGGACTATTTCGGAGTAAGGCCAACCACTATTATTATTAATTCTACGTCAAACAACTCAAACCACCACTTCATCCATACGAAACAACCGTAACCTACAGCACGAAAACACAACGCTGGACGCTCCAACCACTCAACACTTACTTCACCACCCCCACACACACCTTCAATTGACACGACTCACAAAACAAGCCCATCGTCACAAATGTCCCTCCTAATCGACCACACCTAATTCCACGCTCTACTAATCAATTACACATATAGGCTAATCATGTATTCACAACCAACCAACCAACCACTTCAATCGATTACGAGTTGGTTCTAGAACGGATAAACAGCAACACAAACCCTAACACGTCTCAATTCATAATCATACTCGAGCTCAGACGAGACAAACATTATCACGCGGACACTTACACGAACGCCAATTTCACACCCGATCCAACGGTCCTACTAAATTATGCCTACCACAATCAACTATAATCCACTATATAAACAACTAACCAGAACACAGTACGCAAATCAAAACAAGAAAAGACATGCTCGTCGCTTAATAAGTTTGTTTATAGGTACAAAAGAAAACTCTGATCAATTACATTACAATCGAAATAACCAAATTGATTTATGTTACATCAATAACCGTCATCTGATTGCCCATCCACACTCGTCTCACTGGCCACTTCTTCATAATCTCTCTCCAGAGCAGCCAAATCTTCTCGCGCCTCCGAAAATTCTCCCTCCTCCATACCTTCACCAACATACCAGTGCACGAAAGCCCGTTTCGAATACATCAAATCGAATTTCCGGTTCAAACGTGACCACGCTTCAGATATCGCCGTTGTATTGCTCAACATACAGACAGCACGTTTCACCTTAGCCAAATCACCACCAGGAACAACCGTAGGCGGCTGATAATTGATGCCCACCTTGAAACCTGTAGGGCACCAATCCACAAATTGAATACACTTCCGGGTCTTGATACTCGCTATCGCTGAATTCACATCCTTCGGAACAACGTCACCACGATACAACAAGCAACACGACATATACTTCCCATTCCGTGGATCACACTTCACCATCTGATTCACTGGCTCAAAGCACGAGTTCGTGATCTCTGAGACACTCAGCTGCTCGTGGAATGCCTTCTCAGCTGAGATGACCGGTGCATATGTCGTCAACGGGAAATGAATACGTGGATAAGGTACAAGGTTCGTCTGGAACTCGTTCAAATCCACATTCAACGCGCCACTGAATCGAAGTGAAGCTGTTACCGAGCTCACCACTTGGCCAATCAGACGATTCAAGTTCGTGTATGATGGGCGATCAATGGTCAGATTTCGACGGCATATCTCGTAAATCGCCTCGTTGTCCACCATGAAAGCACAATCTGAGTGCTCCAACGTCGTATGAGTCGTCAGGATTGAGTTATACGGCTCAACGACAGCTGTAGAGATATGTGGAGCGGGATATACTGCGAACTCCAGTTTCGCCTTCTTCGCAAAATCCACCGACAACCGTTCCATCAGTAGCGAGGTAAAACCTGAACCAGTACCACCTCCAAACGAATGGAATATGAGGAAGCCCTGAAGACCAGTGCATCTCTCCGACAGCTTTCGTATCCGATCCAACACTTCGTCCACTAGCTCCTTGCCCACCGTGTAGTGGCCACGCGCATAGTTATTCGCCGCATCCTCCTTGCCAGTAATCATCTGCTCCGGGTGGAATAACTGCTTGTACTTCCCATGGCGTAAACCATCAACCACCGTCGGTTCAAGATCAACAAACACTGCACGTGGAACATAGTGACCGGAACCCGTCTCACTGAAGAATGTACCGAATGCGTCATTTCCACTTCCACTCGTCGAAATTGTCGAGTCAACCAACACTCGCCCATCTGGCTCAATCCCGTGCTCCAGACAGTACAACTCCCAACACGAATCTCCCATCTGGACACCCGCTTGACCAACATGGAGACTAATGCATTCACGCTGAAAAACAAACAAACAAACAAACTGTGATTAACTCACTCCAAGGAGAAATTTACAACACCTTACAACTTAAAACTCTACCAAAACGAATCTCACATACTGTCTCATACAACTTCTCGTGACAATACATGCAATCCTTCGGTATACCACCCGCCTAATCTGATAACATTTCACCTCCTACCTCCGCCTACTCGACAGACAACCACAACTCACACTCATCCAGATTATTACCAATCGAATAATTAGCTACAACACGCCGTATTGTAGGTGGAACCTCATCTCACCTGCAAGTAAATCAGTCCTGCCTCATATTCTAGCTAACAACACAGCCTCCTCCTCCTCCTCACTACTACTACTCGTCGTCATTACCGGGATAGCCAAATACCAGTCAATGTCGGTAATACATAACACTACATACCATCAATACATACACGACCACCTACATCAACCAACTAACCAAGCAACTCAAGTCACCATCACAATGCATAACACATAAACAAGAACAACGACCTACCATGATGATGCTTTCTGACAACCGATGTCGACAAGTACAGTCAAGTCACGTCAAATTAATCGCATACCGGCACATCTCCACACTTATATAGCTAAACTGACATGCTTGATTTCAGCTGCTCACTGATTGGTCTGATCGTCTGCATCGTTCATCCAATCACCATTCATCAGAACACTTTGTCAAGGGGATGCATGTGATAACAGCCATAATAATTAATTATTCACCTTGATTTTCTACACACCAATAATAATCAATCTCAATTGTGGTTGGTTCATGTGGAGAGTCGCCTTGGGCAGGCGTCATCCTCCCGGTCTGATATCACCTCACCTGGTCTCATGGCGTGATCTCATCTCATCTCATCTCATCTCATCTGGAATAACTCTTTCTACTAACTTTTTTTTTTAATATTAAGAAGAAGACATGCCTTGTCAGTAAAGAGATCACTTTTCGTAGAGTCACTTCAAGGCTGTAGGTTTGTGTAGGGTGTTGTTTATGCATATACAACATAGATTGATTGATTGATTGGTTGACAACAGAGGTCAAAGGTAACTTTGAGCGAGCGATGAAGCAAGTCAGAGTGAATGAGCAATAAGTATGTTTGAAAGACTAGGAGTAGTCGTGCTTAATCAAAAGGGTTGACAACTAATTGGTTGAGTGATGAATAATCATTCAGAATTAATAGTTGATAAGAGACAAGAGAAGGGAAGGTTGAGAATGAGTTGTAGAATAGAGACATGAAACGGCCTGCAAAGATGTTATTAAACAGCTAGTTATTCAGAAGACGAAGAAGGAATGAGGGAAGTAAGGAAATACTAGTCAGGCTATAGTAGTAAAAGAGCTGGCTGGATGAAACGTTTGTGAAGACAAAGTTCAGGTTTCTCCCTAAGGATTGCTAAGGCGTCAGCTGAATGAAGAAGATGTAGGCGGAATAAATCCTTTAGAACAAGGACTTGTTGACGTTGTACTTTGTGTATGACTTTGAAAGGAGTCTCTTCTTGATGACGTGAATTAGTGATATGCTCGAGAGTTGAGGTGTTGACAGCTCCACATTCTCCTTTTGACAACCATGCTGGTAGGTGTTGGTGGGAACGTCTAGACTGTGTGTGGCTGATACGGCGGTGTATGTATGTAATGAGATCCCGAGGAGCAGGTGAATTGGTGAATACACCTTGAAGTTGTGAACAATGGGGTCTTGTCTTTGAGGTTTTTGTGAATGAATAATAGCATGTGTAGAGGAAGGTGGGTGTGGGGTGGTTGTGGTTGTGGTTGTGGTTGTGGTGGGATGAGACGTAGAGATGCAGAGAAGAAGGTTCTACGAATTTCTCTCTCCAGACGGCTTCGGAGGATCTGACTAACTGTATCTGGCTTGAATTTCAGATTTACAACTAGCTGTTATTGTTTCTTCGACAAATCCAGCTCTCGAGGAGTATCGGCCTTTCTATTTAGATGTTTATTGAGGGGAGGGCATTGAAGGAGGTCGGATATCCAGTTTTGAATAGAGTTTGTTCTTCTGAAGGATTCCAATTTCTCCCTATTCAATCCAGTGCATCTCCAGTGCACATATGGTAGATTCTCGTGGCAAGAGAGGCAATGAGCTATTTGTTTGCCCATCGGGACAAAACTGTGTTAGACTGTGGGCTGTCCATTCCAATTTGGGTTATGGTAGATTGGCCTTTGTAGGCTTCCGTGTGATCGTCTTGTGAGGCGGATATCTAGGGAGGCTAATTAATGTTTTGATTCCGCTTGGATTTCGGATATGACTGAGTGTTGTCGAATATCTATCTGTAAGATTTCATTCAGGTCACTGTCCATCGGTGACGATTAAGATATCACCGATATCCACCCTGTTGTAAACTTCGAATATTTGAGGATATTCGACTCGAGGTACGCCATGAATCATTGAATGTGGAATAAGATGAAGAAGACAACTTGTGCAACAAATTCTGAAAGTAGGTGAAACAACAATAATAGCTAGTAAGGGATGTAGGATTTTTGGCGGGTGTGGGTAAAGGCGAAACTGTTAGATCTTGACAATGAAGTGATAGTGACCAAGTTGATTAGAGTGTCTGTGGTAAATTCTTGTGAATACATTAGCTAGGCTTCTTCACATGGATTCCGATCTCTTCGGGTATGTGTAGGAGCGAGCTGGAAGGACAAGTTAAGATAAGATAAGATAAGATTAGTCGGAATACAACGGATAACTTTAAATGCCACTGTTAACATTGACGTTATAATAATCAGCATCTACAAGGTGAGCTAGAACACGACTAGGAGCAGACCACCGTTAGTATTCATCATATTCCACTAACTTTCAGTTATTCTAATTTTACTACTTTCATTAGACTCGAATAAGTGCTTGAGACAACCAAATATCAACACAGTACTCAGGAATCATCGATTCTATCAAGTATTTAATGACATTTCCCAGATATTCAGAAGTGAACATTTAGTGTGCGTCTCAGGATTAATTACTTGATGTGCCTCGTTGGTATACAAACATAGTTTACATAGTTTGAATCAATCAACTCACATAGGTGGCATACAGCTTCGGTTGAGGAGACGTTAGTGAATAGTGGATAGGCCCAATCCAACGGAGCCACAGTTAAGCCAGATACATTGATTTGACTTATTGGATCCACGAATTGAAACGTATCCTCCTTTAAGGAGTGTTTGGCGATTAGCTTTCTCCCACTTTGTTAAGTACCTACTAGCCATGGTGCTACGGGATGATGGTGGTGATCATAACATGTAAAGGATTGACATAGACTACCTGTTCTTTGTGGATGTTTGGTGAGCCATGTAAATGGGAAATTTCTGAACCAGACGGTGGTATCATTTCCTAGGTCAGTGAGCCGAATTTTCGGTCCTCTTTCATCTTCAAAACTTGCATAAATGGTCTTCTTCATTTCACTGGATATGTGTGTAATCTACCATGAGATGTTCATGCATACCGTCGCCTACACATGCTGTTCAACTGGAATTGACGCATCCTAACAGCTGGATATTACTTACACAAAGACACTACACTGGTGTTGTCAATATGAATAACTCTTCAACAACTGTGTGTATAGACATCTAACTGTAGGGCGAAATGTGTCAGTTGTCGGAATGAGTATTCTTCGATCCATCATCTCTGAGTAAACCACGAGTATTCATTCTTTCGCTAATCCCCTATATAAGAAGGGACTATACAGTTTTATGTATAGTGATGGGAGAATTCTACAATACTATGTATGATTCCATTCACCGAGTATTTTGATGACACTGAGTGATGGATGATATGATATTACTCGGTGAAGAGAAGTGCATTATTTCTATGTGGTCACATTGAAGTGATGTGGCGAAGAATGTATAGCCGCTTGCGTTGACATTTGGTTGTCTCAAGCACCTATTGGAGTCTAATGAAAGTAATCAAATTAGAATCTGATGACGACCAGTCAAGTGGTTATTTTAGTTACTCATTTTTAGGTATAGCTGGGTGAAATTAAGTGGTTAGAGGTCAGTCATCAAAACAATCAACTACTAGATGTTAGTGAGAAGATATCTGAGTTTTGAGTGAGTGGGGGTGGGGTGGTGGTGGGGGTGGGGGTGAAAATTAATTACAGAATTCGTTTTGACTGGATTCTTAGGCGTTAGTAACAAGTTATAACACAATCAAAATATCTGTAAATTAATGACGACTAATAAGAATAGAATGAATGACTCAGGAGAATTACACCAATCACAAACAAGTAAGTTATTAGAGTTAGCCAGAATTGTGAAGATTAGCAAAGTCGAGAGATGGTTACAAGGGGAGGAAAACAATCTTTCGATCTCATTAATTTTTACAATTCTGACTAATTCTATATATTAACTTGGTTGTATTTTACGCAATGCTTCTGAGTCACCCTGTAATTTTTCTCAGTCATCATTATTATTTTTGTAGAATTCTTGACTATGTAAGAACTTGTGACTAACGCCTAGGAATAAACGTGTCTTGAATTCCGTAATTAATTTTCAGCCCAGCTCCTTCAACACCTGGATATATTGTTACTAGAATTTGTTAGTAGTTCCGGTTAGACCACGGATTGATATCAGATGGAGAAGCATTGGGAACCAGGGAGCTCAGCCAGACAGCTGTTTCATGCTAGTTTGGGAATCACCGACTGTACACGCCGACTGGGTTTCGAAGACACGACCTTCCGGTTACAAGGCCAGAGAACTCGTATACCATTCAGCCACTGGGAACTGTTTCAATGGACATTGAGTTCCAACTTCTCCCAATTCGTGATGAGTTTATCCCGACCACCAACCCATGTCATCGGTGGGAACTCGATCGTCACTCGTCAATGGATGGACCCCACTGGTCACGAATTCTCACTACAACTTCGTCTTGTAGCCAGTCACCAACAACCATCACATTAACTCGATTATGGGGAAGATTTTTTTATTTTAATATTTGTGTAAAGCTTGGTCACTGTGGTATTACGTAATTCTACTCCAAATCTAGACTAACAAATTCTTGTGAACTAAAACATGGAGTAGGGAATTGGAAATTAGATAACGAAGGAAAAGTGGTTAGTCAGTTAGTTAGTTTTGACTCTGTCAGTTTATTTACACGTTCACCAATAAATATGGCTATAGAGGCAGTCAGAAACGAACTCATTTGTGATGAACAACTCGAACTTAGAAGGAAATTGCCACATGAGGACATAATTGTGTGAGTGCAACTATGCCTGACTTCCACAATAGGTAAATAATTCCAGGGTAAAATATGCAAAGAATCTGAGGGAGTTCCCATGTGGTCACTAATATCACCGCTTGTGGAAGATATATTCATGGATAGGTGGGAAATCATAGCGGTTGAAACATTCAGCCCCACCCGTAAAGTATGGTGGAGGTATGTAGATGACATATTCACTGTACTTTGAACACAGGATATAGATAGATTTTTCGAATACATTAGCCTAAAGGTGGAGGCAATTCAATTCACTTACAAATTGTAAAGTCGTGGATGGGAGCTTCCAATGCTGGATTGTAGTGTAAAATAGAAAGCAGATGGGAAGTTAAACACTAGTGTTTACGGGAAACCCACACATTTGAACCGATATTTGGATTTCCGATCATCCCACCATCTTATGTCAACGACACTAGGATTATTGAAATGTTTAAGTAGTAGAGCACGAA